TTAATATGTTAATTCACTACTCACAAATGTATATAATGCTTTCTTAAGTGATAAAAAGATACTTAATTATCCAGCAGTGGTGTCAAAAGTACACACATTTGTTACTTAAGTAGATACTGCAGTTTAAAAACACTCTGGTAAAAGTTGAAGTATTGACTTCAACTGTAACTAGAGCGTGTAACAAAAGTAATTTCCCTCTGGGATTATTAAAGTATTTCTGATTCTGATTCTGATTCTGATTGACTTGACCTCTTTATTCAAGTAAAACTAAAAGTATGTGCTCTAAAAACTACTTAAAGTATAAAAGTATAAAGTAACTTTAAATAAAAACAGCCAGATGCCACTATATGAATTGAAAGCTCAATTTTTAGACTATTTTGAAAAGTTCTTTAAGATGGGGCAAAGGATGAGGGAGGTCTTGTTGGTCTCCATCTCCCGATACGCTCTCGCCTGTGTTCGACCTTTCAGACATTTCAGCATCTTTTTCTGAATCCTACATTGTAGCATGGCATAGACAATTCACGTTTGCAGTTTAAGAACACCTGCTTGCTTCTGATGATTTCCTTTAGCTAACCAATGAGTGTTTGCGTTCTATGACTCATCCAATTACACTAGTTTTCACTCTGTGTGGATGGCGGCAATGATCTGCATTGGATGGAGCACATGACGTGAAATAAATATTCATAAATAAAACAAAGCCAAGAGTAACGAGTAACGTTTGCTTTAAAAATGTAAGGAATATAAAGTACAGATACTTGTGTGAAAATGTAATGAGTAGAAGTCATAAATAGGAAGAAAAATAAGTAATGGAGTAAAGTATAGATACCTAAAAAGTGTACTTAAGTACAGTAACAAAGTATTTGTACTTCGTTACTTGACAGCTGTTATCCAGGTCAGGTATATATTCATTGGGAAATTATTCCAATAACTGATGGTGCGATAAAGAACTGCTTTCTTTAAGGCTTTTGATTCTGGCCATGGTAACATGGTCTGACCAGCATTAACTGAGCTTGTTACTTAAGGATGAACCTGATCTCATCTGATAATAATTATATAAGAAAACAGGTTGAAAAGAAAAGACAGGGTTTATAAAAAAAAATTGTACTATTGCAAGCCAGTCTGTACTCTACCATTAACCAGGAAGGATCATGTTTGTTCTTATGGAACAATGTAAAAGCAACCTGGCAGCTCTGATCTGAGCAGTTTGTCATTTCCTTAGTAGACCTTTAGATGCAAACGACCATACAGGTGCACAATAACCCAGGTCACATAAAGGTAACGATTTTGTCACCTGTACCACAATATTTGTAGGGACATAAGAAAGACAACAATTATATTAGATCATTATTTGATTTAAAGAAGGAGGGAGCGGGTGTCTCTTTAAAAACAAGATTAGGAAAGAAATTAATTCATAAAACTAAGTTTATTTAGAGCAAATGTCAAAAAAAATAGAATCAGGAAAAGAAATTTTGATTTGAAAAAAAATTGAAAAAGTTTGTTTATGTATAAATTAGTCTTAAAACCTTCATCTTTTCATTTACATGTTTTCAAATTTGCATTTTTGGAACAATATATTCTCTGCTTTCAGTAAAATTGGAACAAATTTCTCTCCCTATGAAAGAGCAGAAAGCTCTTTAGTGAATCTGCACTGCTCAGCCTGTTATAAATAATTCAGAATTTTCCTCTGAATTCTCTTATCATGCATTGTTAATATAATATAATTTGACTAAATGTAAACAGGTTTTGATGAATGGATGCTTGGAAAATCTTTGTAATCTCTGATCTCTGTTGTCCCTTTTTAAACTAACTGCTCTGCAGAGTTAAAGACCAAATTAGTGCTGAACCGTGCTGCTGGTGCACAGATGGTAGGTTAATGGGTAACAGATCTCTGGGCTGGGAGACACACCGTCTAAACAGGCCTACATTCTATATTCAAATGTTTAACATTTAAAGAGAGAAAGGACAAGTTCCACAAACATCAGTGGCTTCTGAACATTTGCTTGTGCGTGAGATGGTCATCCCACAGGGCTGGCTGTTTTCCATTCACCTGCTTTTTCCCACGTATGACTCAGTGGCGAACAATAAAGAACTGGGCAGCTGTTTATTTTGCCTGCTGACTTCACACAAGTGCTGCTCATCATGTCGGATGGGGCTGAGAGGCGGTTATGGAGCTGCCTTTTAAATGGAATGGGTAGGATGGCTCACCCTTTGAATAGCTGAATTCCTTTGGGATTTAAGAGTTGATTTTAATGCACATGATAAACTGATCTTCAGACAGCTAAACCTATGAGAGCAGGAGTTTCCTGGTCTGTGGTGTACAGATGTCTGTCTACTCAATGCCAAGGAGGGAAAACAATGGTAATTGTTTTAACTCCTTGTTGCAAATATGCAACAAACCATTTTTATCACTCAAACAGCCAAGATAGGTTAGCACGCATGACCCATGTACGGAGACCTGAGTCCTCGATGCGGCCGACCTGGGTTCGAATCCGACCTGGTGTCCTCTCTCCCTCTCTCATTCCCCCTTTCCTGTCAGCCTACTGTTGAAAAAAGGAGCCA